TAGATTTGTGTGTCGTCAGCATAGAGGTGGTAGTTGAAGCCGTGAGAGTGTATGAGTTGGCCAAGGGAGGAGGTGTAGATGGAGAAGAGAAGGGGCCTGAGGACGGAGCCTTTACAACCATTGCTTAAGTATTTTAGATGAAGCCAAGCACCTCGGTTCCACCAACCACCTATTATGGTTTAATCTCCGTTTGCCACACTTCTACGACTTACCAGATACTCTGCATTGGGCTAGGTACGGTTTAATCTATCTTCATCAATTATATCAAGGGGGCATAGTTTAAAACTTTTATACAATTGCAGAGACAGCTACATATCCCCCTGGGTGGCACTTTAGGTTCTCAAAATTACGCCATGCGGCAGAGGCGCAGCTGGGGCTCCAGGAGGTGCGTTTAATTCTAAACTGGAGCGTGCACTTCTTTCATCTAATCACACACATCTTATTTCTACTTTATTACTCCTTACTCATGGACAGACCTCCCGCTCAGCTAACTAAAGTACAATTTAGGTAACTAAAGGTATATGCAATTAAAAAAAAAAAAAAAAAAAAGAATAGGTAGATTGATATGGCTAATTGAATAGAAAAAATTGATTGCGATGGTAGACAGATGGACTGATGTATAGATAAGAATATATTAGATAGATGTTACTAAAGGCTTTGGATAGTTTCCTGATTTTTTTTCAATATTTGAGTGTACTGGAAATTGAGTACTTGCTCTTAGATGCCAGAGTTTTGTCTCCTTTTCTGAATGTATTTAATCTCGGAAAAAATGTAAACAAGGATACAAATAGTTACATGTTTCAAATGTGATCTGTTGTAAAAACATTTTCTGTTTTCCATTGTAGGAACCAAATTCTGAAGATCTTCAGGTAATATATTATAGAACATTTTTTTGGGTTATGTTATAATTATAAGAATTATGTTATAATGTGTTTTTATGGCTGAATCACACCTTCTTAACCTCCCCCCTCCCCCCTGCAAACAGTGCTTTCAGGATTGGATCTCTGTAAAAACACAGGATGGTATAAGCTTACCATGGAATATGTCTCTTGGAGACAAGCAGAGAAACAGAAGATAGTCAGGCTTAATATTTTGACAGTGGGAATTTATTTATTTTATTATTTTGATGCTTATTATTATTATTACACAGTATTTATAAAGCGCCAATAGTTCGCTCAGCGCTGTACATTACAAAGGGGGACAGAACATGTGACAGAACAATACCAATACAAATGCAAAACATGAGGGGATCGAGGGCCCTGCTCTTTCCAGCTTACAATCTAGGAGGGAGGGGATAGTGGCACAGGAGGAGATAGCTGTGGGGGATGGGGTGGTAGGAAGAGTGGAGGAGGTCGGCAGGTTAGCAGGGGGTGGGGTAGGCTTCCCTGAAGAGATGGGTTTTCAGGGTGCGCCTAAAGGTGAGGAGAGTAGGTGATAATCTGATGGGTTGGGGCAGGGAGTTCCAGAGGATGGGTGACACCCTGGAGAAGTCCTGGAGGCAGGGCATGGGAGGAGGAAACCAGGGAACTAGAGAGAAGGAGGTCTTGTGAGGAGCGGAGTGTGCGTGTTGGGTGGTACTTGGATATTAGGTCAGTGATGTAGTACGGGGCAGTATGGTGGACGGCTTTGTATGTCAATGTTAGGATTTTGAATTTGATCCGCTGCGCAATCGGAAGCCAGTGGAGGGATTGGCAGAGGGGGGTGGCGGAGACGGAGCGGTTGGAAACAATGTAATATAAAATATATCGAAGAATTCAATAACCTGGAGGTATAAACTAAATGAAACTGTCTGAAGCTGGTCATACACATTGCAATTTGATTTCTAATCATCTTTAGAACTACCAATAAATATGTAGTATGAAAGCCTACTTGCATGGATTAAAATGTAATCGATTGTTTAGGTAGGGTTTCTACTACATACGTTTGGTAGATCTAAAAGACATTTGGGGGAATTAATAAAGTGTGTCAAAGACACCCTGTTAGAATTCCACTGGAGCACCGAAACTGAAAGTGTCAATGCTTGCTCCCAATTCGTGAACCTGTTACAGACAGGTCCATGAATCTGAGAAATAAAAAGCAGCGCTGCTTGTCACAATGTGCTATGATTGAATTAAAATAAAATAAAATAAATAAAATTGAATCCCTGTTCAAAATACACACATTTTTCTTCCCCCCCCAAGTGTACCAGATGTGCTTTAAATCAATATGACATATTCAAATTATGCAATCCATAAGCCATTGATCAAACTGTGCACATGAGTCCCCTTTAAAAATGTATACTTAAGGCTTAATCAATATTAAGTGATCCAGTCCAATATTGGATACTCCAAAAAAAATTTGTGATTGTGCTCCACAAATAAATGATGTGCTGCTTCAATCCTCCCTCCACACGTGTGCCTTGAGTTCCCCCCAAATGTGCTTACTTACCAGATGCAGTTGACCTCTTAATATTAGGTAGGTCAATATGCACCTTGTGTTTCAGCAGGTATTCAACATTCTACCACTTCAGGGAAATCGCAGGCACTCTGTACTATCACCATAAACATGTAGCTCAGACAGAAGGGCAAGAGATCCACAGAGATGTGTAATTGTGCAAACAAACTTCTTTAACCTCCCCGGCGGGTATGATTATTTCAGATTTTTGGTGCTGAAAGCGGTACCATTATTTTGCATGGAAATATGTAGTTTTTTATTGTAGGCTGTAATTTTTAGGAATAACTCACTGAAATCTGTCCGAACAAGAGTCTAGTAAACATTCCAGGTAGGATAAAACTTGAAACACGAAATCATAAATTATAATTTAATAAATAATCATAAAAAATAATACATTTAATTCAATAATATAATCAAACCAAAAACACTGAAATGTGAAATGCAGCGCCAAGTTCGCACATCGCTGAGCAAAGTCGCAGAATCGTTTTCAGTGTCTGATGATGAATTTCCCCCACGAATCATTATCACTCAATTCAGCAAGTGGTTCTGATTTACTATCGCTGTTCTCTAGCCGGTCTAAAACCGCTTTTGACCTAAAGGGACGCTTTTTGGACGCCATGGACTTTTCTAAGTTTCCAGGCATAAAGAACAGTCAAAATGCAGACAGGGCGCCGGACAAAGCAGTAGGGACACCATGTACGTGAAATGCATTGAAACAGCAATGTTTTACTATGTAATAATCATTTTTTTAAAAATGACATTTTATAAAAATGTCAAATTTGCCGCCGGTTCCGGCGCCCGTACGTCCCAACATCACAGGGACCGGAACACAGAAAGCGGGATGCCGGCATCGGCCAGAGGAGATGGCCGGGGACGCTGCAGGGGACACATCGCGGGGAGCGAAGGACAAGGTAAGTGCTGCAGGGAATCCCTGAGCAGCGCCGCATGGTAAGCCCGAGTGTAGCTCGGGGTTACCGCTCTTGGTACTCAAATTTTACCCCGAGCTACACTCGGGAATACCGCTAAGGAGGTTAAATATATAAAGCCATTAAATATGCAGTGTCCACTCACAGTGTCACAGTGCCCCATCCGGCACTACTCAGTATGTCCAGCCAAACTGATCATCAGGACCTCTGCTGCTCCCTAGGTGCTTGCTTTACTAAGCTGGGTTTTTTGCGTCTATAGAAACACACAGTGCCAGTAAAGCAAGCCACTGCTCCCTCCACACAGGAGTTTGACTGACAGCAGCAGGAGCCTATGCTGCAGTTGCTCTCAGTGTCTCCTGTGAGACCAGGAAATGAGAGGAGCTGTGCTACAGCAGAGAAAGCACTGGAGCGGTGACAGGAGCCAGGTAAGTGATGGGGGTGGGTAGGAGAAGTAGTTTTGTTCCCTAATGCAGAGAATGCAATTAGGGAAAAAAGATGTAGACTTAAGAATCACTTTAAGTAATGGATGGTTGATTTTACTTCAGAATAGAATTAATTCGCCCATAATAAGTTAAAGTGATACTAAACCTAAAAACGTTATAACCTTTATGCATTTGGCTTTTGGCTCTGGCTGCTGTCAATGTGGTGAAGAGGAAGTGGGTGGTGGGGGGCTAAGTCCCACTGTGTGTGCATCTATGGAACTTGGCTCCTAGATACACCGGTCGGGAGCGGAGCACGCAGCACTTGTCCCCATAGCAAACGGCTTGCTATGGGGCACACACAAAGAGGAAGAGGAGCCAGAATCGCCAGCAGGGGGAACCGAGAAGAGAGGGTCAGGCAATTGTGTGCAATACCGCTGCACAGAGCAGGTGAGTATAACATGTTTCTTAAAAAAAAAAAAAAAAGAAAAAGATTTTTGCCTTTAGTAACACTTTAAAGCTGTATCAACAAAATATTTAAATAATTACCCGCGTTCTAATATCAAAAAGGTGTAATCAAGATCACCGCCATGCCAGTTCATATGATGACGCTGTACTGCACTGGTGACAGTATGTAAAAAAAAAAATAGTGAAAATAATTTTTTTAATTTTTTCATTTTCCGAAAAATGATGACAAAAAAAATACAACTTCAAAAAACTCGCCATGCCTCTTATGAAGTACGTCGGGACTGTCTACTCTGCAAAAAGGGGTCATTTGGGGGATATCTGTACTGTTCTGACATTTGGGGGATATCTGTACTGTCCTGACATTTGGGGGGATATCTGTACTGTTCTTACATTCTTGGACCTCAAGAAATTAGATTGGCTGTCAGAACTTCAGGATTGATCAATATTCAGATCTATACCATAGTTTGTGAACTCTATAACTTTCCTATAAACTAAATAATACATCCTAATTTGGGTTATTTTCACCAAAGACATGTAGCAGAATACATCTCGGCCTAAATTTATGAAGAACAATTATTTATTTGTAAACTTTTATAACAGAAACAAAGAAAAACGTGTTTTTTTTTTTCACAATTTTCCATCTTTTTTTGTTAATTTAGCAAAAAATAAAAAACCCCACAAGCGGTGATTACCACCAACAGAAAGCTCTAGTTGTGTGAAGAAAATGATAAAATTTTAGTTTGGGTACAATGTTGTATGACCGCCGCAGCAATTGTCATTCAAAGTGTGAGAGCGCTGAAACGTGAAAAATGGCCGGGGCAGGAAGGGGGAAAATTGCACGGTATTGAAATGGTTAAATAAATAAATTAAAGCATGTGAAAAATTGATACAATCATATCATATTAGCAGATCCCTGTATGTGCAATCCTTATGACAATGTGCAAATCTTCCATTTGTAAACCTCAAGAAAAATCAATAAATAATAAAAAAGCAATAATCTGAAAGATAATTAAAAAATAAATAAAATAAAATAAAAAGTCTATTGTGAGAAAACTGTCCCCCAATGTGCAAATGAATCTCCCGCCTGAACAGATATACTCTCCTTCCATGTGAAGATAAGATCTTTGCAGTGATGTTGTAAACCTGTGTGGCTGCAGGACTGTGAGGGATACTCCCTCCTTTGATCCACTCCTTAAACCCCCTGGCGGTTATTCCCGAGAGTGTAGCTCGGGGTAAAATGTCTATACCAAAAGCGGTAACCCCCCCGAGCTTACACTCGGGGCTTACCATGCGGTGTTGCTCAGGGAGTCCCTGCATCACTTACCTTGTCCTTTCGCTCCCGCGATGTGTGTCCCCTGCAGCGTCCCCGGCCATCTCCTCCGATCTGATTGTCGGCATCCCGGCTCCTGTGTTCTGGTCCCTGTGACGTCGGGACTTACGGGCGCTGCGCTCGGGCGGGAAATTTGAAAATTTAAAAAAAAATGTCATTTTTTTTTCAAAAGGATTTTACATAGTAAAAACATTGCTGTTTCAACCCATTTCACATACATTTTGTCCCTACTGCTCTGTCCTGTCCCCTGCCTGCATTTTGATTGTTCTTTTTCTGGTGCCTGGAAACGTAGAAAACAGTCCATGGCGTCCAAAAAGTGTCCCTTTAGGTCAAAAGCGGTTTTAGATCAGCTAGAGAAACAGTGATAGTAAATCAGAAACACTTGCAGAATTGAGTGATAATGATTAGTGGGGGAAATTCCTCATCCGACACTGAAAACGATTCTGCGACTTTAGTTCAGCGATGTGCGAACTTGGCGCTATATTTCACATTTCAGTGTTTTTTGGTTTGATTATATTATTGAATTAAATGTATGATTTAGAATCTTGTTCGGAACAGATTCAGTGAGTTATTCCTAAAAAGTACAGCCTACAATAAAAAAACTACATATTTCCATGCAAAAATAATGGTACCCTACCAGCTTTCAGCACACAAAATATTCAAAATAATCATAACCGCCAGGGAGGTTAATCCTCTGCCTTTGTATTCCTCCAATGTCTCATGCAAAAAAAAGAGATAAAAGATAATAAGGATTGCACATACAGGGATCTGCTAATATGATATGATTGTGATCAATTTTTCACATGCTTTAATTTATTTATTTTAATTAGCCACGGCACATCAATAATTATTATTATTTATATTTTATTTATAAGCACTTTTGCACTTCTTGATTACACCTTTTTTGATGATATTAGAGCGCGCTAGTAATTATTTCAATATTTTGTTGATAAACGCATATTAACCAGCGATCTAATACTCATTTTTTTAGAATATACCTCAGTGGCTCGCAAGTCAATTTGTTTGTATGAACTTTAAAGCTGTATATTACTTGTGCACTTTATGTCTAAGTAAGACCTTTCTCCTGGGAAATCAATACTTTAAGGTCCACAAAGTCAACATTTTCATCAGAATGTATTGTAATGTACTTTGCTCTCCTATAGTTTTTATTACCACACGAATGGCCTAAGTATAGCTAAATTTTATGTTAATTTTGTAATATCATCTTTTACTACCTTCAACATGATTAAAATCACTCACAGATATTTAAATGTGAGACAATAAGGAGTAAATTTCCAAAGCAGGAAATCTGACATGTCCACAACAATCACTGCAGTTGAATCTTAGGGCGTGCATGTGTTTTAAAAATGCCAATGATGGATTCACCACCAGTGAATGTTTTTTTGAAAATCTTATTCACTATTTTATAAGCATGTGCCTATGTGAAGCAATGTATTGCCTCCATAATGTCAATTTATTATCCACTGTTCTTCTGAGATTTCTTTGTAATGATACAGCACCATCCACTGGCTTATTTTTGCATGACAGCCGATATATTAAAGCTTAGTATACATTATGATGAAACATAACATTTGAAAGGAATGTACACATTTAAATACACCTCATCCCCCATCTCTTATAGCAAAGAGAAGAAAAGCACTGTATACACCTAGGCCAGTGGTGGGCAACCTTTTTTTTCAACTGAGCCAAATCTCGCCAAAAACCACGATTGAAATTTATTTTGAGAGCCACATTTTTAAAACTGAAAATACATAGGATGGTACACTGTTTTTTAGTTTCAATAAGTTTTTATAGTAATTCATCCCCCATAGTAATTCATCCCCCATATAGTAATTCATCCCCCCTATATAATTCATCCCCCTATAGTAATTCATCCCCCCATAGTAAATTCATCCCCCATAAAGTAATTCATCCCCCATATAGTAATTCATCCCCCCTATAGTAATTCATTCCCCATATTAATTCATCCCCCATATAGTAATTTTTCATCCCCCCTATAGTAATTCATCCCCCCCAGATATAGTAATTCATCCCCCCATAGTACTATTCCCCCCCAAGTATAATAAGCCAAGTCCCCCCTGTGTCAATTCACTTACCTCTCGCCGTGTTCCCGCGACGTTCCGGTCTTCAGGGCGGACTGTGAGAGGAGCCTAGCTCCCCTCACGTTCGTCACGCTGCCCCCCGCCTACACACATCCTGACAGCCAATCACTGGCTATCAGGATCTGAGTGGCAGCATAGACTGCCAATCATTGCAATTGACCGCCGCGCTGCCACTGGCTGTTTTTTTTTTGGATCACGCTGCAAGAGTCCCTGCCGCGAGAGGAGGGAGGGAGGGGAGCGGGCGCCCGGCACACAAGAGCGCATTAAAGCGTGTAAAGAGGCAGCATGTGGCCTCGCGAGCCACGGCTTAGCCGACCACTGACCTAGGCCAAAAAGATATAGCCTTTGCCCCAATTTTAATGGGCTGCTCAAAAATCAGAACTGGACACACAATGGTTATGTATTACTTTTTACCAAAAAGATCTGTCACACCCCCAATATCAAAGCAAACAAGCTATTTATTCAAATCGACAGTAAGATGACATGGACATGCAAAAGTCTTGATGCATTTCATACCACTGTGTGTGGAGCGTAGATTGTAGTTTAGTTTAGCACCGATTTTCAGATGTTTTAGGGTTATCTCCATTACACAAGTTTATTCTCCTTTTACATTTATGTTATTATTATTATTTACAGTATTTATATAGCACCATAGGGTTTCCTCAGCGCTGTACATTATAGTGGGGGACAGTACATGAGACAAACAGTAAACAAAAACAAATACACAGGGGTTCGAGGCGCCCTGATCTTTCGAGCTTCCAATCTAGGAGGAGGGGGGGATAAAGGTACAGAGGAAGTGGCCTGTGGGGGATGGAGTGGTAGGAGGAGTGGAGGGGAATCGGCAGTTAGGTGAGGTGGGGTAGGCTTTCCCTAGAAAAGGGTTTCACAGGGTGCGCCTAAAGGTGAGGAGTGGAGGTGCAGTCTGTATTGGGATTAAAGCAAAAAGAAGAAAGGAAGTTCGTTCCAGAGGATGGTGGAACGTCCTGTAGAAGTTCCTGAGTCCGGCGTAATGGGAGCTGGAAAAAGGAGTTTGCTAAGAAAGAGGGAGGTCCTTGTGGAGGAGTGAAGATTACGGGTTTGGTGGGAAGGAAGATTTTTCATTGTCAATATAGCTCACAGCATATAGTTTGGGGGGGTTTAATCAGAATTGGCTTTCCGTAAGGGCAAAAGTAAAGTTGAATTTGTGATTGTATCGGGCAATTGGCTAAATGCATTGGAGGTAATGAACGGGTGTGGAGAGATCTGAGGAAGGGGTTCAGCGCCTCGAAAAGCTACTTATCCCGCTGATCATTAGGTATTTGATCTGATAGGGGGGATAGTCTGTGGGGGGTTAGGATGCCGGGGGGGGGGGAGTTGCAGTAGTCCATTTACTATTTTGAGATAAATACGTGGGGTACCAACGAGTTGTAATATACGATCTGGGAGTTAGGAACGAACGTTGTTTGTTTTTTGCCATGGAAGGCCGAGCCTCCCGATCTCTGCTAGGGCTTGGACTCATGGGGTTTGGCCCCCAGAGGTTTTGAATCGAAGTGGACACGATGACATTGGCGCTTGGGGTGTGCCCCACTCCCATGTGTCATTGTTGGTCGTGATCACATCAGAGGGTGTGGGGGGGGGGGGGGGGGGGGGGGGGTTTGTCGGCTTGGGGATATGTATTACGGTAGCTTAGATCGTGTTGAAATTGGGTTCAGTGTTGAGAACGTAACAAGCTGTGTAGCCAATTCATTGATAAGCTTTTCCATGGTTTTGTTCCATGCTCATAAACAAGCAAGCAATCTCGGGGGGGGGGACGGATCCTCTCCTCTTTGTGTACATAACATACATGGTGTAATATATATATACATTTTGGCCTAATTTATGACGAAATTTGAGTTTTAATGGATATTTTTGACAGTTTAATGCGCTATAATTATTACACCAACCCCAAATTTTCAGTCTTTTTGATGCTGTAAAGTGGGAAAAATAAAAAGTGACAGGGGGGGGGGGGGGGGGGGGTGGGGGGGGGGTGGGTTGTGACCCGGGACAAGGAAAGGGAGAGTGTAATGTACAGTTGTGGCCAATTTGTATTCAGAAATCTAATCCTGTAATCCGGGGGGGGGGGACTATTGTGTACATTGGAATTGTAATTCAGAATCAACTCTACAAGGACGTTTTTGTAACTACCCAAATGAAACTAAAATGACATCAATTTGTTTATGTAATTACAGTAGTAAAATAGGTTTTTGTGGTTTCTTCATTGCCACTATTATTCAACCCTTAGACGGATACACTTTGAAGAAACAGAGGTTCATACGGTGCTTTCCATCAGGTATTGAAAACTGTGGGATGTCACGAAGCAGCAATCAAGCATAATAAGCACCAATTAGGAGCTTTAAAGTGACTGTGATACTCAGTCCTTCAAGACATTTACTGGTGTGGTTACAAAACATGGTGAAGGCAGAGAATGTCCAGGAAGACAAGAGAAAGAGGTGATTTCTTTCACGGAAGGGCAATGGCTATAAGGGATGATTTGCAAAGATGGTTATAACATACCAAGAGACACAGTAGTGTAGCATTCATGTCGCAAGATGACAAGGCAAAGGCCCAGTGTTGAAACGCGACCTCCGACTCGTGGCAGAAAGAAGATTGCTGACTTCGACTGCTGTGTCGCTACCTGAAGCGTATAGAGTGGAGAGAAGTATCCCCTTGGTGGACTGCTGAGGAGACTGGATAAAAGGGATTAGTACAGATTGGTACAGAAGTTTCAGCCCAGAGCAATAAGACGCACACTGGCGTAATGAAAGGCCTCCGTGCCAGAACTCCCAGCCGTACCCCCTTGCCGGTCTCCAAGAATAAGAAGAGTTCTACTTGCATATGCCAAAAGTCCCCCGCTCGCCCCCATGGTGGACAAACCACAAAAGTGGAAGTTTCCTTGACTGATGAAAACAAAATAGAACTTTTTGGGCCCCAGGATCAACGCTATGTTTGGAGGAGGAAGAAAAGGCCTATGATGAAAAAAACACCTTGCCAACTGTGAAGCATGGGGGGGGTTCAATCATGCTTTGGGGGGGGTTTTCCCTTCGCGGGGTACGGGAAAGGGCCTTCGCTTTGTGCAAGGAAACCAAAAAAACTCTTCAGTACCGGAGATAATTTAGGAAAGGAAACGTGATTTCAAATCCGTCACACACCCCGAGGGTTTTGGGGGACCCTTGGACCTTTCAACAGGACAATGATCCCCAAACATTTCCTCCCCAAATCCCCCTAGAGCAAAGGGTTGCAGAGGAAAGGCGGGAAAATTTTGGGGTGGCCATCGCAGTCACCAGACTAAATCCCCCATTGATTAAAAAATCTGGGGGGGACTTAAAGAAAGCAGGGTTTCAGTGGGGCCAAACCTAAGAATGTGACTGAAAATGGAGGCCCTTTTCCCATGAAGAAAAGGGCGGGAAAATAAACCCCTAGAAACGCTGCAAACACTTTGTCAAAACTATGCTTCCGTTTTAAAAGGGTTATAACTTTTAAAAGGATTGGGTGGGACTAAAAAAATTTTCTAAAATTTAATGTCCCCTTGGGGGTTTTAATAAAAATGATAAAAGCTGTGAGCACAGAAAAGACTTTTTTGGGGTTTTTTCATTATAACTGTTATGTATATATTTTTCTGACCCCACAAGTGCCTCTTTTTTAAAGTAAAAAGTAAACAAGAAAGACTGAATGATCAAAAGCAAAAGTCAAACTTGGGCCAAAAAAAACCCCAAATTTTAGTGGGGGGTTGAATAAATTTTTGGGCCCCAAAATGTATGTAAAAATGAGGTTTAAAATACACCCAAATACAGTAAAACTAAATATAAACTCTGTTTTATCAGTGCATTTTTCTTTCTCTTTTATAGGGAAAAGCTGGCAGAGAGAACCACGTTACTAAAAAGAAGCAAAAAATCAACGGGACAAGAGTTTAAAGAAAAAAAAGGGGCAGAGGGGTTTTTATTTTTTTTTTACAGAATTGAAACATTTTTAAATTTACTGAATTGATTATTATTTTCCCGACGGATAACTTTGTGGGCATGAATCGGGAATTGTATAGCTTTCCTAGGGGTTTTTATATATAAAAAGGGTTTCCATAAGGGGCTTTCCCACTCAGTTTTTGTTCCTTGTTTAGTTTAAAAAAAAAAAAAAAAAAGTGCGGGGGGGGGGGGAAAAGGGAAGAAAACGCATCCCCTTTTAAAAGGATCTCTTTAAACCCCGAACAAAAGCACATTTTAAAACGTATCAGTTGGGAAATGGGAAGAAAAGGGAAGAAAAAGTGTCCTTTTAAATTCCCCAAAGGAACTCTTTTACACTGCGGCATTTTCGTTTTTAAAAGCCCTGCTTGCTGCATTTTTGGCACAAAATTTGGTGCTTGGTTTTGTGGGCATTCAGATGGATCTGTTTTTGATGCTTTTGTTCAGGTGTAAATAGTTTTAATT